TGCTTTCCGCGAGCACGCGGCGTGCGCTGGGCACTTGGGCAACAACACTCTCGAGCTCGCCATGCTTTCTGCAAGCACGCGGCGTGCGCTGGGCGCTTGGGCAGCAACACTCTCGAGCTCGCCATGCTTTCCGCGAGCTCGCGGGTGTGCTGCGGTCATGGCCCGTTGATATTCGATTCGCCCTAACTTCTCGCACACAACTCCGATTCGCACGAAACTTGGACCAAAATTCTTGTCATTGAATTCTCTTCGTCCTGGTATGGCTTGGTTGGATTTTCCAGTTGGTCGGCTCGGTCGGCTCGTCTCCTCGTTCTCGACAAGTTGGACCTATTCAACACCAAAACAAAAGAGACAACGCGCAAAAATACGAAAACACTATATAATAACAAAAATACACAAAACACGATAAAATAGATTGGTTGACACTAAAACGGACCTAAAAACACTAAACTCGAGCACATAAAACACACGAAAATAAGCACAAAAACACAATAAACACTTGTTCGGTTTACTCGATCAGACTCAATCACTTTTTTAACTCTTTTTTAAAGTTATTATTATCACCACATTTTTGTCGTTTCAAAGACTTATTATAACCCATATTATAGATATTTATTTTTATCTATAAAAAATATTTTAATATTGTCCTGGATTATTTTAAGAATTAGAAAAAATTGTTTAATTAATGATACAATATTGATACTTGATTAGGTATGTATTGTCAAACTTAAATGCTAATCAGTTTTTAATAGAAAATCTAATACTACTATTGAATGAAGTGCATTGTTTTGGTTTATTTACATTAGCATTTTCACTACCACCCTATATTTGGCTATATAATCATAGCCAAAATAATCTTCTCTATTATTCAACGTTCTTATGCATTCTTGGTTGAATTTTACTCGCTACTAATGTGTTATATTTCTAAATTCCCATCATATAATTTATAGATCCGACTGATTTATTTTCAATAATATTGTGCAAGAGACCATTAAAATCCGACCACGCACTCCCATAGCCATAATTGCCCCTAATTGTATAATAGCTAGACAATCGATCCCACAAAATCTAATATATTACATCTAAAGGTTGTTCAAATGAGTAGCAGCTCTTATTAATTTGCGGACACGAAAATATATTGTAATATTTATTAAGAAAATGACAAATGAAAAAAAAAAAAGAGCCCACGGGCAATATATGCTACTCTTTTATGAAACTGTTACGGTCCGTTACGGAACCATTCCGTCCAGATTTATAATCATTAGATCATCATACATGTCGGTTATAAATTTCGACGAAATGATTCCGTAACGAGACCGTAACATCTCCTACATTATTAATAAGCTAACATTGCCAGCGAATATATTGAAGTAAAAGAAAAGTGAACAAAAAAATTGATCACATTTATTTTAATAAATCAATCTCATTTTTCAATATTCATACAAAGACAAGACACTACCAAGTGATACAGTCAACATGGGGCAGAAATAAATTGACTTTATGGTACATATTTTTTATTGCATAAATAAATAAATAAATAATCCTGTGTGCTAATATATATATTGATCCGATGTTTACGGTATTTCAATGCCGAATATCAATTATAATTAAATCGGTTCAATTATCTGTTTCTGTATAATTGAAGAGTTGTGATTTAATTTGTGGACTAATAAAATCTTGAAAGAAAACTGGGAGAAACGAGTTCGGTCCCACTAATATGAAACGCACAAAGAGAAAGAAAAGCTCAGATGAAGTCCAAGTGAGGTTCCATCTCAAAACCAATTGGTGGAAAGAGGAGTAACCCATTAGACTTATAAGGTGGATCTATTTTCCATGTATGAACGGGACAACTCACAAGTGATATTTTAACACGCCCCCTCACTTGTGAGTCCTTAATAAGAAAGTCCAAGCCCATATATCAAGTTGGGTGCCCCAAGCCTACTAGAAGCAGACTCCCATAAACGGGTACGTGGGGGAAAACGGGTATGTCATTGCACGGCCCAATAGAACTGGCTCTGCTACCATGAAAGAAACTGGAGGAAAACGGGTGCGGTCCCACTAACATGAAGCGCACTATGAGAGTGAAAAGCCCAAATGAAGTCAAAGTGGGGTTTCATCTCAAAACCAATTGGTGGAAAGAGGAGTAACACATTAGACTTATAAGGTAGGTCTATTTTTCATGTATGAACGATATGGGACAACTCTCAAGTGATATTCTAACAAATCTGAATAATTAATAATAAATGCCTAGTCATGAAACCAATTTATAGTTTTTAATTAAGGGGTTATAGAAAGGGATAAAAAAATAAAGAAAAGGAACAACTGAAGGCACATGCAAAATGTCTTTAGAGAAAGCAATATGTAGTGAGCAATGTTCAATTGAGGCTACAAAGCCTACAATTTTTACCATTTCTAAGTGGAATACATTTTTTTCAAATGTTTATATAACTTGCAAACATTATATTTATGTCAATAAAGCATAAGCTTTAGAGGATTAATGAAGCATCTTCTTGTGGATGGACTTTTATTGATGCCCTCGTAAATGATGGCTTTCTTGATTTTTCTATATCATATTTTAATCTGGGTTTACTCTTTGTAGTTTTTAATTCTTGAATTTAGTCCAACTTTATATATATAAGAAAAAAAATAATCAATACACATCCAAAAGCTGCAATGTAAATACCACACACATGTACATACTACTTACTAGTTGTATTTGGAAATAAATCATCAATAAAAAAGGGGAAAAAATTACATTTAACCCGCCTAACTATACGGTTTTTTCACTTTACTCACTCAACTTTTTTTCGTGACATTTTGCCCGTATAACATTCTAAATAATTGTAGTTAACCAGTTTTCTGCTGCAATATCACTTGTGAGTTATCCTACATTGATTTAATAAGGTAAATGAGCGTAGTTTATAATAAGCCTAGTGAGCTACTTCTCCCGTCATCAATTGATTTTGAGATAGAACCTCAACTCATTTTGCCCCTATTTGACAACCTCTAATATAAAAAAGAATTAAGAAAACACACATTAATATTATAGTGAGAAAAATGGTTTTTTAGTGGAACATAGCAAAAAGTTTATGATAGCTGTTTTCCAATCCATGTAGTGTGGTGCAGATTTCAACTCCCGTCGGGCTCAATCGCTTCACGAACACAATTCTCACATCTAAGTCTAACTAATAGTATTGTTTCTCTCTTTACACGAGGTCAAACTTGGACTTCCTCATATCTTTATTATTTGTAATTTTGGCTTAATTGATTATTGATTTAATAAATATTGTTTTGACTATTTTGTTAATATTTTTCTATTTTTAACCCTTCATTTAATACACAGTGTCTTCATATCGCATATCTATTGTTTCCCATAACATCCATTAAATAAGATTAATATTGACAAGAAAAAAAATTCTTAATTAGCGTATTGCTTCTCAAAACGACAAATAATAAAAATAGGAGAGAATATAACAGAAATAAAATAAAATAAAATATATATAATTGCATAAATATATATAAAATTTGCAAAATCCAGCCCCAAAGTTGTGCTAGTGGCAGACAAATGGCTCCTCCCTTCACATGCAAACAAATTCGACAATTTTTATCCCTTTCATTGTGGAAAAAAAAAAATGAAACAGTCTGAAAATCCTAATGTACTAACAAAAAAAACATGTGGACCAAATAAGGGTGAAATTATAATGTAACAATTTTTATTTTTTTTTTAACAAAATGATGAATAAAACAAATTAGGGTATTCAAATGATCTAATTGAGCTCTAGTTAAATTTAACTACAAATAAAATTTTAATCAAATGTTTTCTTTTTCATGGTCACTAACAGTTTGACTGAAATATCAGCCCTATCATCTTGCCAATTCTATATATATATATACATGCCAGTTTTTTTTTTTTTTTTAATTTAACCATAAATATATAAATATACAAAAAAAAAAAAGAGTAATATTTGAAGGTTCACCCAAAATAGTATGTTCAAGCTCTTGGATTCATCCAAGATAAATAAAATAAAAATAAAATAAAATAAATTAAAAAAAGCAACAAACCATCTTTGCCCCTACTACATAAAGAGTGACCATAGCACAGATTTACCAATATACCCCACCAATCTCTTGTGAGACAAAAATATGCACACTGTCTGCATGTGATCATTACAGTACACCAAGGAGGTCCATCATACCATGATCCTCTGACTTTGAATGGGTGTGTGGGATTTGTATGTGTATTCAAATGCAAACATGGTTTGGCATTTGGCATTACAGATGATCTCTCATACAAATCATTTTATTCAACCCCATATAACATATATATATATATATATAGATGAAATTGACCTACATAGTCTATTTTTTTTAAAAAAAATTAAATTTTTATATCAGAAAATTGCACTCTCTTTGTTTGGGGGGCTCTCTTGGGCCTTGATTTTCTTGGACAGAGGCTGTGGTGATGAGGAAACTGAAGCAGCAGCAGCAGCAGCAGTTGGGCTTGGGCTGAAATCAAGTCCCCACAGTTCATTTGAGGTATCATCACAGCTGAAAGACACATCCACCACTGCTTTTGGGCTCCCAGGCATTGCACCAAATTTCCTCTTCCTGCCTGTAACAAAATCAACACTTGTGGCCACTTGTTGTACTATCAGGCAGCAATCCTCCACCTTGTCCTGTTATTTTTTCACAGAGTATAAAAATCAAGATTCTAGGAAGGTACCAGGTTGTCTGGATGGAAGAGTTGGATTACAAGCACAAAGTTCACATTTATTTTATTTTATTTTTTTCTAACACAATTGTAAATAACCAACCCCCCACCAAGTGTGTGTAAGATGAATAAGAAAGTAGACCTTGTTGATACCAAGAATGCCCATTAGTTGATCTTGATACTCCACAAAAACACAAGGCTCAAGGCTGCTGATGACATACACCATTATAGCAGTAGCTAATGCAGAAGGCAAATGGCACATGAATCTACAGTCTGCAAGAACAAATATATACACAAAAACCAGAAACAGTCACAAAAGGGGGCATCAAGAAAAAACTGAAACTAAACAATATGAGTAAGTAAATATTCACCAGAGATCACAGAAACAAGAAGGCACTCGCATCTCCTCAGAAACTCCCTGCGAAAATGGTCTTTGAATTTGAGGCTTCTCGCAATGTACTCGAGAAATGAGAGTGGAGTGACAGGGTTCATCCTCCATTGAAGGGTAGAAAGAACCAAAATCTCCATTCTCTGAATCGTCTTCGGCTCGAACACGTACTTGGGATCCTCCACCTGAGGAAACAATCGACAGATAAAAACATCTCAAACTCCCAATCTAACCACATTGTTGAAAAAAAGTAAACAAAAATAGAACAAATCACGCATCAAGATTGGATTTTTATTCATCAAGATTGCATTTTTATTTATGGGTTCTCATTTTTCTCACATACTTGGAGGTCCAAAAGTAGAGGAACTTGAGTCTCCTCAACTTTAGCAGCAAGAGAGAGGCAAGCCACAGCAGCTAGCTGAGTCACCCATGGCCTTTTCTCCCCATGAAACTCAAACCCGCACAAAAACCTATCAAGATAGTCAACTGCAAGAACCGCAGTGAGGGCAGAAAAGGAATAGTGCCCAACGACCTTGAGCATCCACTCCACCCCCTCAACCCTGGCCTTCACCAGAAACGGACTTCCCTCAAAGCCACGTGGCGGTTCTTTTTCTTGCTCTTTGACCAGTAAAAACCTCAACTCATCATCTTCCCAAAGGTCCTGCTCCAGGAACTCCACAATAAGGCTGTTCTTTTCTCCTCGGCCTTTTATCAAGCAGGTGGTGTGCAAAACTGAATCTTCATTGTTCCATAGAGATTGTTCTGCCACGCAGTACAAAGAGTTGAACGAGATTTGAGGGTCTTCCTGATGATGAGGGGCGGACATTTTTTTTCTCTTTTTTTTTTCTTACAGGCAGAAGAGGTTTTATCTTTTTTTTTCTTAATTTGTTAATTTCTTCACGGTAGAGTATAATGAGTTCTTTTAATGGGGTCAAATAAAGATGCAGGGAAAGATAAAGAAAGAGAGGCCTAGAGATGAGCTTTGAGCCATCTCCATGGACGAATGATGGTACTACTGTCTTTTTTTT